GATATACTGCACGCGATTTTGATTATCCGGAGGACCGTCGTTAGGAATTTCCGTTCCTGGTCCCTGGGACAGCGTCGAATAACCACGGAGTGCGGATACCGGTGAGAATTAAGCCGGTATTTCGCTCACGCGGCAATGCCTGGAACATCTCCAAACTCGATACGGGACAGAACACACAGAGTAATCTTTCAAGACGAAAGAAGATTAACTATAAAGTTTCCTGTTCGGAGGTGACACAAGAGGAAATGTTAAATGTTAATCCTCGAGCAGGTGGTGCGATTGAAAATAGATGAGAAAATTGAAGCTGTTAAATGTTGGAGTATGCAAGGATGATTTATGAGTTTTTATTGGACGAAGAACCATAATTCCTTTGCGTTTGTCTGACCGAAGTCTACACGCACGGATTCCGCTGCAACCTCAAATCGCACGCCCGGAAGCCTATGATTTCCCAACAGACATTTTTATCGTTTTGTCGAATAGAATACCCATAAATAACAAAAACTGGTCTTGAATTTTAACGCGTTCGCCACCACGCGTCGCGGTACGTGTAACGCGACAATTCTCCTGAGAGACGTACATACGTCATATATGCGCGACAGCGATGATTTTCTATTTTCTGTCCGTATAACCAAATGATGTATGAACTGTTGTGGTCTGCGGACCTCTGTCGCATTACGTGTGACATATTATTCGGAATATTCAGCTGGCCTATTTATTACATACCGTACGCTATGTTAAATAAAATCACAACTATAGCGTGGTTTGCGGCGAACGGTTCTCATATTGAAATGCATTAAACTCGAGCATCTGAATAATATTCAATTCTTCTAATTATAACAGAACCCATCGATCCGTCGTAATCGACTATCGTTTCCCACGCCGGATTTTCCAGCGACCATATACTTCCGTCAAATTGATTTTCTTCCCTCAAATTGTTTTCCGTCGGATCGACGACGGGTCTCTCTGCCTTTTCCTCTTCGAGGACGAAGAAAAAGAAAATCGATGGGAGCTCTTTCAACGGAACGCGTTACCTTCGTTGCCTTATTCAAGATGTCGGGGATACGTTAAGTTTTCACCGCACTGGGACGAATGACGACGCCGCATTAACGTACCACTCCTGCCGGCCTTTCGTCCTGCAGGATCGTGAAATTTTCAAGAAGATCGGTCGTACGTCCTTCGCCTCGTATTTTACGTTTCCTTTTACGACGCCTCACGGCGGAGTAATCGCATCCGAGAATTCGAATACATTGTTAACGGAAACTCGTTGAGACCCTCTTGTCTATCAACCCTAAAAGGACCAAAAGGGAGGAACGTAACGGGCCCGCAAATTCCTAGATACCCGCTATTTTCCTCTCGAATTTTCTTTCAGCCGTGACCCATTTCCTATTGTTTGGTTTAATCGGGGAACTTTGGCAGGAAACGATAATTTTATGGACTGGAACGATTCGACGCGGGCGTAATTGGTGTAACCGCGCGACGATAATACCGTCTGTTGGGACATTAAGAGGCTTTCGAAAGAAGTTGAACTCTCGGATCTAATTCAGCATCATTAATTACAATTGCCGCCTGTGGTCGTGGGAATGGTCAGCCGGGGCGCGCGTGACGAAAGCGCTTGGTCGACTGGTAACTTCTGTTGTTGCGAGCACAATGAACCGGGTCTTAAGTGCGGAGGCCACAATGTACTTTTTAGGATGCCCGTCGCCGTGGAACAGGACGGAATAATTGGCTGGCGATGGACGTGCGAGCGACCAAGGTAATTGCTCGATAGATGTGCATTGGTTCGAATTTGCGGCGGATTATTCTATATCTCGCGAAAATGGGGCTGTTAATGTTTCGCCCCCTCCCTGTCCGGGCGGCTCCGGGGCTGGCTAAACTCTCACAATTTGCTTCGCGTTGTAAATTTCAGTCGTGTAAAAATTTCATCGTTCGATGGAATCAACGTCACGAATAAACTGCTAAGTGTTTGTTTTATTCATTAACGTCGACTTTGATCGAATCGGATAGTACTCTCGATTTAAAGGTAAAACCCTTTCCGGCAGAATGCCTCGAAAAATCATGGATCACCGTCAGGTTCTAAAATAGAAACGGTCATAAAAAGATCGTAATCCGTCCGAATCCTCTAATTTAATGGCGACGAGAGAGAAAATCGAAATATACATATTTCCGTTCGCATTTGGGAACTTTATTCCCGATTCCATTTCAGCATTATAAAGCTATCGAGAAACGTTTCGACATTTTCCTAGCATTAGTTTAGAACAAAATTTTTTAATTATGGGTCGCAACGATGCATTAATAGGAATGGGGAAAGCGAAAGCGTATCGTGAAATATCGAAAGCAGATTAAAGTGGATCCCGCGGACGTGGCATAAGTTGAAATGCATGATAAATGAGATAGCGTCGCGGTCGAGCGTCGCATCCCCTGCGCCGCGACGTCGTCTCGTCATTAAATTATCGCGAGAAGTCGATAAAATAATTTTCTTCATACACCCGCGGGAGAAGGTTACGAGAGGCGGCTCGCATTAATAATGCATAAGTCTCGACAAGATAATCCGATACGCGTTTAGCTTAGTAATCGCGATTCAATTTCCATTTGTTATTCATTGTTTCGCGAGATTGTCTTACTTTGTTTGCCCGCGTCGGATCCGTGATTCCCGAAATCCCAGGCGCTCTTCCTCCGGAACGTTTTGACGTTCCTGTTTTGTGTTTCCTGCCTCTCGACGTACCTCCGCCCACGGCTCGAGCGTAAAACGGGGAGGCGAATTTCGTCAACGTGCTCGTATTGCTTCGTTCCCGTTTCCGCTTCTTCTTCTTCCACTTTTCGCCCCCCCCCCTGCCGCGCACCCCGCGACGTTCTTTCCCAACCCATCGTAATCGCACAATCGCTGGTTAAGCAAACGCGAGAGCGCACGAGGGTGAATTATTGCCGGTGACTCCTTAAATTCGAACTACGACCGCGGAAAACGCAACAGTTGCGCTTTTTGCGCTGCCTTGCGATACGTAACGGTGAAATACCGTGGTAATTTCGTATTCTTCCTTCGATTTCGCGTCCCCGACGTCGGTCGCTTCTTGCAAACGTGTTCGCGTTCGCGAATCCACTGCAGATAAGAGAACACTGCTGTTTACAAAGAAAACAGGATTTTTAACCCCTCTAGGCTCCGCTCGAAAGTGACCAAGTTCTTCTTTCTGCATCAGATTGTAGAATTTTTGCAACGACGATACTCCTTACAAAAATTCGAAGTTGATGTCTGAAATTTGAATGAACCCAGTGCAGTTCGAAGTTGCTCGTAATTTATCTTCATTCGCGGCTGACAAATACATTCCCCCGCATCGAATAAAAACTGTAATTTGTCTAGTTGTTCCGTATGTACTGCGAGATTGCGTAATTTACAGATTCGCTCCAACAGATATCCGGACGTGTAACCTATACGCGACTTAGAGTAACGCGTCTCGCTGGTGTTCCCACCCCTGTGATTAATGTTCTCGGGGAAGGCTGCCGGAACTTGTTTCTCGACTGGCAAAGAGTCCTTGTTTAGATCTTTGTTCGTTTGAAAAATGTCGTACTAGGTGAAAACCGATGAGTATCAGGCGTTTGGGAAATAAATTTGATGTATTGTTGATTACATGCTTATGCGAGACTCGTAGAAAAATTGCAACGTATTCGAAGCAGTTATGAAATTGCATCGAGAAAACGTGTCCCTGGTAGATTCCGGGTTTGGTATGCGAAGGGTTAAGGACGCAACGCGTGTACGCGGAAGCCTGAACGAAGTAAAGAGGCGCGGAATCCGCGACTGAGGCTGAAAGCGTTCCCCGAACCAGGCCGAGAAAAGGGGGGTTTAGGGCGCGGGACTCGGTGAAATTTTCAATTCACTTTAACGCTCCGGTCTCGCGTAAATACGCGATGGCGCAGAATGCCAAATAGAGTGAGGTCGGTCGGGCGCGTGCGTGCATACAAATTCTGCTCTGTCGCTTCGTAATTACTGGCCAAGCAAAGGCCGAGGCGCTGCTCGTACCCGCGTACACTTTTCCAGACGTGGCCATCGCACGCGCGACCACCGGCTGAAACGAATTCGTCGCTTCTATTTTGCTTCACCGCCAGCGACGCTGCCAGTGGACGAATTAAACAAATTAGAGCGTTTATTTTTTATCCGACCCACGACTCGCACGTATCTAATCGAATGTAAGAGTAAGATGTTTAACACTAAAAACTTCTAACAGCTGAAGTTGTTTGCTGCTAAAAAATGGGAATAATTTTGCCTTAATTGGACCCTACCCGGCCCAGGGTACGATGTATCCTGTGCTCCCTTCGCCCTGTCGTGCATCCAAATCAGCGGGACAGAGATTTAATGCCCCGAATGTTCTTTCACGGCGTGATTCGCGGAATAATTTGAAAATTACGGGCACCGTTGCGACCTAACCCTTGTTACTCGCAGCCCCGGCCTTCCGTAGACGTTCTCTTTCCGCGCCCACTTCCGGCGACTTTCCTCCGGGCTGCATTAAATTATGTAAGAAATAAACAGCACCGCCCTGGCAACTTCTATCCTCTCTCTTTCTCCGTAGCGCGCTTACGTATCCGTTACGAAGCGTTCGCCAGACCTCTAGCGTGATTAAACTGCGCTCCCGGTGTTTTGGCAGATTTTCAAGTGTCTACGTAGCACGCTTGCCAGGCGTAAACGGAGCCACGACGCGCGCCAACGCCGTCCGGCTGAAAGAAACAGAAGCCAGCTCGCTACACCGGTGAACTTTGAATGGATTTGATCCCGTTAAGATGTTTGCAGAACCGGTAATCCCGACGACGAGGCGTGAAGTTTAACCGTGAAAGAACCGATGAGCGAGGAATTTAATTAGTCGATCGTGAGAGAACTATGTACAGCGTCATTCCGGACGGCTGATCGCCAATCGGGTTTGTCCTTGCTCGATCGGGGAGTTTGTTACAGACATGCACGTACACGGGCCCGAGGATGTTCCGTCGCCGGTTCTAATATCGAATTCTCTTTGTTTCAGGTGAGGAGCTCGTTTAACACTGTACCGTCCCTCTTGGAACATATCGGAGACCGTCAACGCGAAAAGTCATGATTCCTTCTACGTGTAAGTCCATCGTTAATATACAAATCGGAGGTTGGAACGTAAAAGTCTGGCCTCGTTTAATGGAAATTTCGACTGGCGCGGAAATTGAAATACAGCCAATAGAATCCGTCGGAAGTGTCGAATCACCGCAAACTGCTAATGGTCCGAAAAATATGGCTGGGAAACACGCGATCGCGGACGTGAATTTCGGGGAATCAATCCCGCGGGATCGGAACGTGGGGGCGAAAAAACGAATTACGAACGGAACGGATTGGAATCTTATCTTGGGGAATAAAATGTCGACGCGCGATCAGGGCTTTCGAAATAGATACTAGCGCGCGGTTGTGGATTATGTTGCGATGCAGTCTCGCCTCCGGCCGGTGCATACAGTTTCACAGTGCATCGCGTAGTCCCGGCATAATTAAACTCGTGCATCGGATTTCGAGGGTTCGCGTTACAACGGTGGTCGCGAAACTCGAAGAGTACAAAGCAGTGTTTTCCAACGTGGGTCAGTTTTAAATATTTTCGAACCATTAAAATGTTACGTTGCATTGTAACTTGTCGAAACGAAGCTTACGATCAAGGGAAATAACTTCATAGAAAATTACGAGCTCGTAGTTTATGATACTTGAGCGGATAAGCGTTCCTAGGGGTGTGTTTCGCATTGGTTTTCTTCGCGAAACAGTGCACGATACGCTCGTTTATTGCTGCAGTGTAATGCTGGCGATTTGCATGTTGACAATTAGCTCGGCGAGACGCAATCCCATTAAATTTATGGTGGGCAAATACGACTTCGTAAAAAATTATAGAGTATCTACCTTTTCTGTAGATTTTTATTCGACCTTTAATCTAAATTCGTAATTCGTTAAATTGATCAATTATATTCGAACGTAATTACAACGAGCATGGATATGGCGATCCACCAACGCAGCTAACGAAAATTTTAGAAAATAGATGGCAAATTCAAATCGTCGTTAATGCAGCGAGCAGTGAATATAATGAGAACATTTTATCGGTTCATTGATCCTCGTTATAACCGATTTCGACTATAATTACTGGAATATCAATTGCGTTACATTATAAACTACAGCCATGTTTATTATTATTGAAACTAATTTCATTACTGTACGCTATTAATTTAAAGGATATTAAAATCGAAAACCGTGTGTAAAGTTTCATTGGAATCTCTAATATACAAAAAATTAGAGTTTCAAGAGACAAAGGTATTTCTGCACGAACGAAGCATATAATACTTCTTGGAGGAGAAGAGAAGAGGAAATTTCAGTATGCCTCGAGCTGTCAAAGGATAGAGACATGCCTTTAATAAATCCGAGTATTTCGTAATATGTATTTTTCATTTTAATCATACCTCGTCCTGGTACACGTCAACGCGTGTACGATGCATGGAATAAGATGGAAAATATAAAGAGGAAAGGAATAGTATCACGGATACGAGTCGAATATGTCGTATAAAGGAATCTTGCGCGAACCTTAACAGTGCATCTTTCATAATCGAAAACGTTTGACGTCACTCGTTGGATATCCTCGACTTGACGATTTCTGATTGCTATTTACATTGGGCCAACGTTCCACTTTTTCCCGTGTTTCCGTTGGTTGAGACGATATTTTCAGTTCGAGCAAACCCGTCCCGATCGAGCGGATAAACGTTTCTCGTTCGTATCTATTCGACGCGTACGCGAGAAGCAAGGATCAAGTACCAATTTCCTCAAGATTTAGACCAACGTCGGCAAGTGTCGCTTTCTCAGCCAGCTGGGCGAACAATGCGAAACATTCAGGCTCGTAAATAAAGAGAAGGATCGTGAGAACTTTCTTCCGCGATCGCCACCTCAATTTGCCGCGTTTAAAGCCCACTGGAACGCGTGTTAACGCGACAGTCGTTAGATAGATTCGCGCGAATTGAGCGATTCCGAATGACGCACGGAATTCGACGCGACACGTTTGCTGGAAAATTTCACACGCGATTCTTTGTATATGTATATGGTGACAGTGTTCAACGAATGGATTTATCTCGGAAACTGCATCGAATTGGCGTAATTAAACACGCGGTAATTGAAATGCCTGAAAGGGGTCATCGAGTGAGAGTTTCACAGAGAAAAACCAATGGACCGAAATGTCAAAGCAATCTCCAGGTCGATGACCTTCTTCTCCCCCCTTCTCTTTTTAACGAAACTCGTATTCCATTCGAGCAAACGAAACTATTTCGAGCGTATCAAATTATTTATTTACGGAACATTTGATACAGGGAACGGGACTAAATATTTTCGTTTCCGGTATAGGTCAAGGCGCGACTTTTTGGCTGCGCGCGAATCCGCGAAAATCTAGCGTGAGAGGGTAGCAGAGGTGCGACAAAGTACCACCCACGCGTCCCTTTGCGAATGGATCACGATATTGGACCGCAGAATCAACTAACGCGCTCTATGCCGTGACGCATCGCGTCAGAATGTAAATCCAATCTTTGTTCAGTAGCGTTTTCGAGCGCTGGAAAATGGACACTGAAAGCTCGACAAATACAGGAAGCCAAAGGACCGATTCGCCGCTACCAATTGCCGGAAATCAACCGTAGCTGCGCAGCTCCGGAACTTATAGCACGCCTATTTTACACGTACGCGCGCGTTTCAGGCCTAAACGCTCCCGCGAACCAGATCATTTTATCCATTTATTTTTAATCGACGGCTCTCGCGCGTTTTTGCCTCGCGGAATAACTGTATCAAGGTTGAACCAGCGATCTTCGGCAAATAAGATTATTTTACAACTCGAGCCAACTCAATCATAACTTGTAAGAAAGTTTAATTTGAAATCTCGAGCAACAGCGGTTAATAATTCAATCTTTCATTTGAAATTCTTCTGATGAAGAATTATGATAATGTACCTTTGCCTCGTGACTCTATATTCTCACCCAGGTTTTAAGAATTCACGTCCGCTTCTCTCTTTATCGAAGTTCCACGTTCGTGTTAATTCATTAGCGATAATTGTAACAAGCTGTATCGATTCCAAGAACATTTTCTCTTCTCTTTTCTGCTTTTTCATTCATTTTTCGCCGCCGTACTACGTACAGATATGTAATTTCCGTCGAATTTCTAACAACATCGTGTTATTACGCGCAAGTTCTTCGTCGAAACGACCTGTCGAACTCCGTACACTCGCTTTGAGTTTTTTTTTTCTTTTTTTTGGCGCCACGATGGAAGCGAACTCGTCCGAGATTCGATTAACATTCGAGCTCGCAAATGGCCGGCGAAAGAGAGCGATAATTCGATTATTGCACAGAACGGAACTTCATCGAGGATTGAGGATGATAATGAAAAGCAAATGGAAATTCAAGGCAGTAGGACGGAGCCCCGGTCGAAAGATATCGAGACAATTCCGCGCGATTGCCGGGACTACGGAAAACAGTGGAGCCAATTTACAAAACGATTCAAAAATTATTTCATTATAATATCTATCTATTTCACATGTTTTTGCTGAATAGCGTCGTATCCTCGATAAATAATTTCTCCCGTCTGATGAAACTGTCAATCGACGATTTTACCTCGGAGTTTTTAAAAGGCTTCGCGAGTCAAACGAGCTCGATCTGAAATTGCTTCGTCGTAGATTTCGTGTCGCTATCCATGCCCCAATTTTTAACTTCAAAAGCGATCACAACGTCAGAGCGTACTTCCCGTTTACCTGGTTTCTAATTTGGATACCAGAACGTGAATTTAAAAAATGTTTTAAGATCGATATATGGTAAATAATCGTCGCCTAGAAAATCTTTCTCCGCCGTTTGACTTGAATATCCGTCTATTTTGCTTGGCAGCCGCGCAAACGCCGGTGAAACCAGGAAATGGAGGATTCGCCAGCCACCAGAAGGACAGCATGTGCGTTCGCGACTATTTTTCCAGAATGGCGCGTCGCGTTCCAAGCTGCTCGATCTTTTTTTACATTCCACGACCGAGGGAGGAAACGGCGCGACCGGTCGCACGGCGTTCCGCGGCAGAAATTTCATTACCACCGTCGCAGAATTCGCGGTCGAGCTTCGTCGTCGTTCGAGGAATATGAAAGAACCGCTGAGACCATTGTCATTCCGCAGCGACGGCGAAAGAAACCAGAAGGAACTGTGCGCCGGTAAAGTAATATAAACGAGAGGATTATCGGCCAAGCCCCTCGCGTTTCTTCTTCGGAGAGCATCGAGATAGCCCCAGCTTCACAATAGCAATCCAGAAGTTGCCCATGGATTTAGGAACATGCTTAATTAACGCGAGAAAACGTTGCTGGTTGTGCTGTTATATGCACGAGTTAAATATCTCCAGCTTCTCGATGACGCAGGGTCTTTAAATTTTAGGAGTACCTGCCTGACATTATTAATAACGCATAATTAAAATTTTAGGAAGTTCCTAGGGAAGTAATTTTTCGCTACGGCTGCTTTAAATGCACCGTGTTCGAGCTCTTCTCGCTTGGTATCGCCCCAACGGCTGGAGGCGTATCTGCTCGATGGTTCTTCTCGCAGACTCCTCGAGAGCTTTCTTCCCCGCCTCTAGCGATCGAGGATTACTCGATATGCACCCCGATATTGGAAACATGCACGCTTTTCGTTAGCTATTCGAAAGCACTTCGGTAACTAATGGTACAATCGGGAAGGGGATGATTTTGGTTGGTGATGGAAGACGGATAAAATTAGATGATTTTACGACAGATTCGAGCAACGGATTCGTCTCTCTCTCCACCCACTGTTTATGTTTATGTAGTGTGTGAGATCCATCGGCTCGCGCGGTCAGCGGCCGCAGTCGAGAATAATCCTTGACCCCAGAATAGTCTGGCGGCGTCTGGGCAGACCTCACTCGACAAATATTGTTTTATAATCACGAGAATAGCGCCAAATTCGCGAGCTTTTGTGTGTCTTTCGAGCAAATTACTGTGCACGTGCCAACGCATTGTTAGCGACCTTCGAGCCAGCGTTTCCCATAAACGTATCGAAAGGAGAGAGACGAATATCTTTCGAAGTAAGTACAATGCAAGTGATCGTC